TCTTGGTTGGGCAAGACTATAACAAGGGCCTGAGTACATCAAATCCCGTGAGATGGAAACTTCACTTGCAGAGCAAAAGGCACCGACTGGAGGTGTCTGCTGGCTTTTTCTTTCTTGTTTCCTTGTTCTGCTGCACTGTGTCACATGCAAGGCGTGGGGGTGGCTGCATGTTTCCTGCCCTGCTCCAGAAGCCTTGCCTGAATGTCTGCCATCTCCAGACAGGTCCTGGGGTCAGCTGGGAGCTGTGCTGAGGTGCTGTGGTGATGTTTGGTGGGAGCTTACTGGGGGATGGATTAAAGCTGCAGTTGGATCTGCCTTCGCTTGGAATGGTTCCTGACTGTAAGGGAAGTGGCATGTGAAGGGGTTTGGGATTAAACTGAGGTGGGAGCTAGGGAATCTACCATCCAGTCCCTGCTTTGTGGTGGGGGTAGATCCCTTAAGCTTTCTGAATCTGTGTTGTCTGCCTGTAGTTTTTTCTCATGCCCTTTATCCGTTTTGCTTATTTAAACTGGAAGATACTTCAGGTAGAAACTTGCGTTCCTTTGGTGGTGGCACGGCCTCAGTCTGTGCATAATGACTTGCTCCAGAGCCTCTGAAAATCCACAGGAATCTGTGTCAGTGTCATTAAAATAGTTTTAACCTTTCATTTCCCTGGGGTACCCAGCCATAGGGGTGGGAGATGAGTTCTCCTCCTGCGCTGATGCTCGAGGATGAGCAGCATCTCCAGGATCCAGTCCAAGTCTGTCAATAGATATTCCTCTTCTGGATCACAGTTCATTTCCCTTATAATGATGCTGCGCATGAGCCTCCCATGTGATGCTAATTAGTGCCAAGCCTGCCTCTGTATAAGCAGCATTATAGGTAATAATGATTGCAGCCACTTGTAATTACTCAGCCCTGAGCAGCAATGCGATTCGGAACTAGCAGTCTCCTTCATCCCTTCTTGCAAAGAGACAGGGGAGAATTGGCAGAGTCGGGTCTGGTGTTGGGCTTTTCCCTCAAGAAAGAGAACTGCAGTGGTGAATGGGACGGGGGTCCTGGTGAGAGCTGTGTGCGCAGCAGGGGACTGTCACTGCTCAGAGCTTGTCTGTCTCTTTACTGAGATGCTTTCTTCCAGCCCTGTGGCCTGCGTTCAAACCAGTGATGCAGTCTCATGTTTACACTGTCAAACAACACAACTCCGTCTCCAAACACTTGTCTTACGCAATAAGGCTTTCCGCCCTGGCCTGAAGCAGCTCTGCCAAGGGCTGACCTAATAGCAGCAGTCCCAGCAGTGGGGACACTGAGACGTGCCCCACTCTGAGCAAGGCCAGGGCCATTTAACGCTGTCTGTGCTGCATCCAGCACAGAGGGGTCCCACAGCGCCGAGCTCACCGCCTGCCTTCTTCTGCAGGGGTCAGTGAGGGTGCAGTGATTCAGTGCTGCAGTGAAAGAGAGCATCACAGCAGCGAATTGTTTGGGATTGTGCTGCTCATGCATGATTCCCTTTATTATTTTTAAATTGGGACTGCAAATTTGGGTTTTTGCAAATCGTGCCCTTTGAAGTTCTGCTGCTGGCTGCTCAATGTTAACTACAGCATTTGATGTGCTGCAACGAAAGGCTGTAGCCAGGTGCCCATCACTTCAAGACTGGTGCAATTTTTTTCCAAGCTTAACGTGATGCTTGCATAAGGCTCTTAAAATTAGTGTTGCCTTTTAAGCCAAAGGGCCGGAATAAGGTTTACAAGCCATAAAAGCCTCTTATCAAAGTTGATTTCCTCCAACGCACCTTTCATCTTTTATAGTATTTGCTTTCCAAATCCTTGAACTTAAAAGGATTAAACAGGTTAAAAGGAAAAAAGGAGGAGGAAAGAGAAAACAAATAAGAAGGAAGATGGATGGAGTATGGATTATGAGAGGCCCGTATAAAATATGAATTAGAAGAAAGTCTGAACGGAGTGCTGTCGTTTTCCAAACTGCTGAAAGTCAAAGTGTGCTGGAAGTTTAACGTCAGTTAATACTTAATTTCTCTGGGTTATTTTTAATTCTTTCCAAAAATAATGGAGAATCTGAACAAGGAGATATGAGGACTTTATATATATACTTACATATATGCTGTTCTGCTCCATCTTCCATCCTGCAGCGGGATCATCCCTATCATTATCTCCCCATGGGGCAGGGCTGCCACATTTGCTGGATTGTACTTAGCAGTGCAATGGGATTTGGAGCCAGCAACTCTGTACTCTGCTCTTTCTCACCCAGCAGTGCAGGAGGATCCCACCCAGCCAACCCTGCAGAGCAGAGGGAAGAGCCACCAGCCGCTCCTCTCTCGCTGTGCTTGTAGTCAAGAGGATCACATTAACCACCAGAAGGTTGCAATCAGGGGCTCGGCCATGCTGGTTATGGGTCAGCAGACAGGTCAGCCCTGCTGCCAGCCCGGTGTGTCTGGGGGCAGGCAAAGCAAACACAGTGCAAGCTGCAGCTGGGAATCAGTGCGACCTCCCCAACCCACAGCATCCGCCGGGTGCTGCAGCATTGGGATTTGTGCTGCTGCTTCCATGTGCATGCAGAGCTCTGGGGGTGGCAGAGCAAAGTGGTGTTGCTGTGGTTCCTGCACCAGCATGCACAGATTTTGGCTCTGCCACTGGTATTAGGGTGGTAGCAGTCACCCTTTGGCTGAGCATGTCAATTTAGAGAAGGTAGGAGCAGAATAGGACTCGGGGTTTGAAGCAATCTCTCCCCTGCAGTTTTTCCCTTTGCTCTCCTGCAGGAAGGATAATGCAGTGGGCCCTGCAGGACTGTTAATGAGTGTCAGATCCTTTAATGACCCACTGATGTATGAGGTGGCCCTCGAGGGTGGGTTAATGGTTGCTCTTTGGACCAGTGCAGCTCTGCAGGGTTGTCTCTCTCAGCCTCAGAGCAATGGCATAGGATGGGGTTGGGGCCATCCTTCACCTTCACCCTCTCTCCTGCCTCATGCCTGGATGCTTTGGAAGTCACTTTTTAAATGCCACTGCTTCTGGCTGATGTGAGAGTGGATGAAATCCCAAGGTGAAACCATAGAGTGGAGCTCAGTGATTAATGATTAAACCTGGGGCACCTCTGAAACTTCCCAGCTACCTCCCTGAGAGTGCAAACGCTGTGAGTCACCGTGCTGCAAAGATCCTGCCCTGAGGGATGCCTGTGAGGTTCAAAGAAGCTGTGGGCATCATGAGAAGTGCTTGGGGAGCTCAGGCACAGTGTGATCCTGGGCACTGGGAGCCTCTCCTGAGTACACATGGTGCTTGCATTGAGCATCCTTCAGTGAGCAGAGTGCTGTTGGCCAGGGCTGGGGGGCTGTGGTGGGGAAGAGATGCAGCAGAAGAGATGCTGGAGGTGGGATCTTCTTCTGGGCTGTCCCAGGCCAAGCTCTCCACCTTTTCTCCAACCGTCATTGTGCTTCGTGAGCCTTTTTGGCAACTAGGATGAGCAGAGTGGCAGAGCACGGCAGAGATGCCGATTTAGCACTGATGATGTAGAAAACCATTCAGTGGCTGTTCAGAGAGGGGTTTGGAATTCATTGTAATGAGCAGAAAGTATCAGAGAGCAACGTGAAGGCCGGGGGGCACGCGGGTGGCTGGGAGCTTTCCTCGTCGAGCTGTAAGGGCAGCCCAGCACCCATCCAATAATTAAAATCTCAAACCCGTGCACAGTCCGGTTTGCCTTGGCTAAAACCAGTGTGAGAAACTTCCTCGCTGCATTTCTGTGTCGTCCGGGCTGAAGTGTTGTCATCCGAGGCTGCTTTGCATGACAATGCGCTGGGCTCTAATTATGCACAAGGATGCTAATAGGCACAGAGCGTGCTGGATCTCCATGGGAAAACTATCTGTTTGCGAGGGGCTGGGAGGGGGAGGAAAGAAAAAGAAAATCCACCCAAACAAAATAAACCATGACAGTTTGGGAAGGGAGGAGGAATGGGGGCGAGGAGAGGGGATGGGGGGAGGTGAGTATGGAGCTAATAAGGCTCAGTTTGGGCTTTTAATTTGGTCTTTTTCTCCCTGCTAAGAGACACTCCCATGGTGCTGATAATCTGCCATGATCTTGCGTTGGTTGAAGCTGGATCTCTTATTTGCAGCTATCAAACAGGAGCAGCTCTACAGTGCCTGCAGTGATCTCACGTAGCAAGCAGGGGAAACTGAGGCATAGAAGGGTTCAGCCTTGCCCATCTACCAGATGTGTGGCTGCACAGGTTCTGTATCCTTGTGTTCCAGCACCTGTTGGTCCCACTTGTTGTACTGCAGTAGCAGAGAAATCATTGCTTCACAGCTGAAGAAAAGGCAGCTGGAAATTCAGGTCTATATCCAGGGCTCTCTTAGAAGTTGCTCTTCCCAAGGGGAATGGCATTCTTTTTCTGGATGCCCTATTGAATTTTTTCTTCCTACATTAGCTGTAAGAGTGCTTTGCAAAGAGAGGGGTGTGGGAGCAGGGCAGCATCGTCCTCCGTGTCCTCCTGAGTCCTCAGGGCATCCACTTGTTTGAGAAGGCTGAGGTAGCACTGGAATGGGGAGTGTTTGGAATGGTCATGGATAGAGCAGCCTGAGCTTTCCAGGTCCATAACATGACAGAAGGGGTGAGTGTGGGAATGTAAACCAAGGCAAGGAGGGTGCTGAGCCCTAGAAACCCAGCAGGGTGGAGCAGGTTGGATCTCAAGGCATTAGGTTGGCCATCTTTAGAAAAGCAGATAAAATCTGGGGCTGTGTGGAGCTGTGGAAGGAGGCTGCTGACCACACACTTGACACCTGCTATGGTGTGAAAATGTGTGACAGATGCCTGGATAGAGGCTGCTAAGTGCAGTGCTGCTATTAACCCTCATTAAAATGCTCCCTCACTTAGTGAATGCAAAGAGCATTAAGGAGCCAGGTGCAGTAGTCTGAGGAGCTCAGACCTTTCACTCTCGGTTGGTGTTGATGGAGTCATCTGGCTTTAATGATACTGGCATTACCTGCTCTGTTGGTGTTTAAAACAGGGGATGGATGTTAATGTCCAGCTTAAAGGGTTTATTTCTGCCTTTTCTTTCTCAACTCCCTGCATGCTGCAGAAGTCCTGGGTGAGTGTGTGTCTGTGGGTAGGGCACATTGTCACTGTGCTGGGTGGATGGAAGCCGCTGGGTAACCACTGGGAAGGCTCTGGAGATCCTATCATTGAAAGACATCAGTAGAAGTCTGGTCTGAACCCTGATGATCTTTCCAGTTGGGTCATAGTTGAGCACCTCATGATCTGGATAGCTTCATCTCAAGCCTTTCTTTGCTGTTATCCCTGTTTAAGAGATACAGAGTTTGTCTTTCTGTTCTTCCAGGAGAAGTTTGGTCTCCAAATGGTGTCAGTGCTGGTGCTCTATGTTCCCATGAAACATCTCACCAAGCAAGAGATGAGAGATAGGATGGCCCTGGTGCTGGGCCAGTAGGACCAGTAGGATCTACTGGGCTGGGAGTCCCTCTGGGCTAAGCTTCCCCATGCCATGGTAGGGATGCTGGGCTGAGAGGAGCCAGCAGTTCCCTGGAAGGCACGCTCCTGCTACCTGAGCACCACTGCAGAACCTTCCCACTAAACATAATGTGTGCCATCACAATGCCAGTGAGCTCAATGGCTTTACGTGGCACGAAGGAGAGGAAAACTTGAGTCTGATTTGCTCTAAATTGTTGGGGACTGGGGGAGGGAAGGGAGGACGTAAACATCCAAGGTTGGAAAAATAATTATCTGTGAATGAAAAACTCTGGGTTTTACCCTGAGAAAAAGGGGATAGACAGCCTGACAGACCTGATGACAGACTGAGTTCGAAAGCACCCTGGCCCCACAGTGCGGAGAGATGCCTTATTGTTTGATCTGGCTGTGAGACAGATTAGCAGCCCCAGGTGGAAAGTCATAATCTGCATTTAAATGGGCCGGTTATAAAAGGTAGGGAGCCCAGGAGCCCACAGCATTATGCTGTGTCTTTAGGACTCCGTAATCTCTCTTTATTTTCTCCGCAGTCTGACCTGGGGGCACAGTTTCTAATTACCAGGTCACCCTGCTAATATTGTCATTTCCAGCCAGTGGGTGTGAAACCATAGCAACACCACATTTGCTTCCAAGTTTCTAGAGGAATAAAATTTGCCTTTTAATCACAGAAAATGACTGGTTGTCTCCCCAGCCCCCCAACTTACTCCTCACTAAGGCAATTCACTATTGGGGCTTTTTCCAAGATATTCCAGAATGGTCCCTTTGGAAGCTTCACCTTGGGGCTGTGGGCCAAACCAGTGACCAAAGCTTTGGTCCATGGGTCTATGGGCTGCTGGGCTTCCAGTGGGCTGGTCTGAATCATGGAATCATTAAGGTTGGAAAGATCATCAAGTCCAACTATCAACCCATCAACCCATATCTGGATGCCAAAGCCTCACACAATGCAATTGCTCTTCACCAGAGAAATCCCAAATTTTGTAGGGTAGCGTTTTGCCTTCAAAGTGTTGCAGGTGAGCTGACAAAAGAGAGAAGAGGGAAGAGCTGTGTTTGGTTTCCAACAGTGCAACTTGGGAGTTGGACTCAACTTCCAACTGGGGTTATTCTATGGTTCTAATCCTTATCTCTCAATAACCAGAGCAATACCCACATGGGATTGTTAAGAGCCAGGATTGCTTTGTCCCCTCAGAGCAGATAATTAAACTGAACTGGGTTGAGTCAGCATGGGAATGTGGGGATGTCCCCAAGGATGCTCTGTAGGCTGCCCACTGAGAATGGGGGTCAGGATGGAGTGGAGCTCTGCCCCTCAGCACCTGGTGCTGCAGCTCTGTGCTGCATGCTGCCTGGGTTTCAGAAGCAGATTGTGACTCAAAGCGAGTCAGACGTGAACTGGAATCACATTGTAAGGTGATTTTCCAGCTGACAGGAGTAGGTTAATTGTAAACTGTCTACTGAAGCTTTAAAACTCCTGTCCAACCGTATTATTAGCAGTTTAAAATTTATGGAGTGAGACTTTTGCTTGGTGATAGTTGGTTTGTGCCCAGACAACGTGTGTAATTAATCCCCACACTGGGGGAAGGAAAATCGAATTTCAGCCTTTTTTTCTTTTCCTTTGGTTCCTCTCAGGGTGTGCAAGGGATCCGGCTGGGCTGCAGGAGCACAAGGGGAGCAGCCAGGTCTCAGGAGTGAGAAATGTCACTTTGCAATGAGAGGAACTCCAGGCTGGAGAGTGAGAGAGTCTCCTGAAATAGTTGGTGAGCCGGAGCTGGGATCTGGGCTCAGATGCTTTCTTTGGGTTTGACTGGAGCTGGAGCCCACTCACTGCAGGGGATGGGACCAGGACCCCCGTGCTGCCCCTTCTCTCTGCAGCTTTGGCTCCAGGTGACTCATGGGACAGCCCTGTGTTCTGCAGCCTAGGGGTTGCCCCAGGTCAGAGCTATGGCCTTATTAAAAGTGCCCTTATTCCCAGGCTGAACGGCCACATCTATGTGGCTGCAGCAGCTTGGGTTCCCCTCTCTATTACCACATTTGCTCCCCATGCAGTGGCTCATGAGCTCATGGACTTAACCCTCAGACCTTCCCACTGTAAACTGTTTTACTCTCTGAAAGCCGAGAGCAGCTCCCAGGCAGGTAATTAATTAGAAATGTGGATTCGGAGGCTTGTTTCCCTTCCCTCTGTGTAGCTGCTGTGATTTCTTATTTCAAATGACTTTTTTATTGAGCGTCTTATAAACATGACTCTGTTTTAATGGAGAAATCGCTCCCCTCCCACCCTGGGCTTTACAAACAGCATGTCTCCAAGCTCTGCTGTCCTTGCTGATGCTGTCAGCCTCTACGTGTGTGTGTGTGTGTGTGTGTGTACGCACAGCCGCGTGCATCCAAGCACACACACATGCAGAACTAAAACAGGAGTTTGACAGCCGTGGGTTTGCTGAGCAGCTTGGATCCAGCCAAGCTCCAGTTGACTTCAATACAACCCTGCCTGGTTTATGAGCCTTCGGAGCACAGCCTGAGCAGGGGCAGCTTGTATAACGGCCGTGCATGATTAGTGCTTGTATTACAATAGCACTTCAGGACCCCAATTGCGGCTCAGCGCCCCATTAGAGTAGTCCTTGTACAAACACGTCATAAAGACGTGGGCTCTGACCCAAGCAGCTAACAATTGAGGTCTTTATAGCCCCCGAGGCACCTTAGGATCAATTATTTCTATTACAGTAGCACTTACGGCATGTCTGTGCCCACGCTGCGCTGTCTGTGGGCTGTGCTGGGAATTTGGGGGGCTGCAGGCTTTGCTGGTGGAGCTGTGAGTGATGTTTAGTACTGAGGAAAATTGCTGGGGGAGCAGCAGGAGAGGGTGTGGGGACCTTGTGCTGTTAGCATGGCCCTGGGTGCAATGGGTGCTGCTCACGCCATTGCTCTGATACCAAGCTGGTGCTGCAAGCCTGGTGCATGTGGGTGCAGGAGAAACCCTTGCAGGCAGGTACAGCACCTGGTGAGGCTAAAGAGTGGGACAGGGAGCACAGCAGTGGCTCTGTGTCCTGCAGCACGGTGTGGTGCAGGCTGCATCCCCAGCACCTGCTCTCTGAGCAGTGAGCTGCTCCAGTTCTACCTGCATCGCCATCCTCACCTGCATCATGCCCATGTCTCTGTAAGCCTGGGCTTCTGCTGAGATGTTGAAAGGGTATTTCTTACATTTTCCCTGATTCCTTGGACCCGTTTATGCTTTGTGCTTTACCTGTTCCAGATGGGTTTATCATTGCAGCAGTGACTCCAAGCATCCCAGCCAACTTTGGCTGCTGTCAGGAGGGACCACGGGCTTCGTTTGTGCCCTCCAGGGTGGGCGCAACTCCTTTCCTAAAGCTGGGATGCAGGAGGAACCCAGCTTGCTGCTTTCCCTTTGACATATAAATCTCCACCTCATTTAGCTGCTTGCTCCCTGGAACTGGGCCCCGAAAAAGGAAAAGAGAAACCCCAGCAAACCTCACTTGCCCAGCACTGCTATGATATATCACTGCATCCCAAGTGCTGCAGCTGGGCAGGAGCCGTGGCTGCCGGCGGGATCCCGGCTCACAGCTGGCTGTGATCTCTCCTCCTCTCTGGGAGAAAGCCCCGGCTTTAATTCGATGTCAACATGAACAGCTGGCTGAGGAAATGCAAATTGCAGCTCCGCTTCTCAGCAGCTGATACCGCTGCAGGCAGGCGGGCTGCTGGGCTCAGGGAGCTGCATGTGGCTGGATGGGCGCAGAGCCCGGTGTGATGGGTGCTATAGGGAGCAGCGCTCCAAAAATTCCTAAGAAAAATCCTTCTGCGTTCGTAAAAGTATGGAGAATTTCTTAAAAATTCTTAAAATTCGGCTTGTTTTTTTTTTTTTTTTTGCAAGCACGCAGCTGAACCACCAGTGCACATCTCAGCCCCGTGCTGCCCACTGCAGTCACAGTGCTGTGCAGGAGCCGGGGGGCCTCTCGGGGTGCCCCCACCCTGCCCTGCCCTGCAGCTGCGCCGCTCCCTGCCCTGCTGCCTCTGAACCCGCCGCGCAGCATTGCACATCTGTCCTGCGCCCGGCTCTGTTATCTGCTGCGGCTCAAACCTGCCCTGCAGCATTGTAAGAGTTCCCTTGAATTCATTCCCCCCCCCAACCCCTCCTCCTGCTCTGCTTTCTAGCACAAAGTGCCCTGAAGCGGTGCAGCTTTTGCAGCATTTTCTTTCTTTCTTTCTTTCTTTCTTTCTTTTTTTTTTGCTGTGGGTGTCCCCGACTCCCAGCTAGGGAGATATGGGGGGGGGGAATAGGGGGAAGGGGTGTCAGGAGCTCAGTGCTGCACAGCGACCCGGCTCTGGCTCTGCTCTGAGCACGTTGCAGCCCACACCATAAGTAAACAGAGCCCAAGTTATAGGTCCGGGGTTGGGTCATGAGCTTTGCTCTTTGGTTTGGTGCAAGGAGGATTTCCCCGAGGTGTTTCTGGCTGGAAGGTGGGGTCCCACCCCACCCCCCCCCACCCTTCTGGAGCTGTGCACCTTTAGGGATGGTTCTCAGCTTCTTGCTGGGCTGCATCCCAATACACCTACACAGGCATCAGGAAGGCAATGGTTGTGTCAGTGACCCAACTTTCAGGCTCCAGCAGGTGAGGGGGAACCCATTGTGTGCCCCCCCAGCACGAGGTTTGAGTGACACTGACCCCAACGAACACACATAGTCAATCAATCTCTTTTGGTTAATTGGCTTAAGGGCTGCTCCTAGCAGGAGTCAAGATCGTAGGACACGCAGAGGCTTTGCTGTTCAGGGCTGTGCAGAGTCCCTTTGGGGCAGGGACAGCAGCGGGTGCCACATTGCACTGCGCCGTTCAGGGGGTGTTACTGCAGTCCTCCCTGTGCTGTTCCCAAAAATGCATCCCAAACGCTGCAGGGTGGAGATGTGGGGTTTGGGACTGTGCGTGCTTGGAGAGGTGATGTATCCCATTTGGGGAGAATTTCAACTTTTTGGGGGAAAATAGCCCAGATCTAAGCATTGGCCAAGAGGGGCTGCTCCCCTCCTGCCTTGGAGCTGCAGGGAATGCAGGGTGGGGAATGCATTGTGCAAAGTGATGCTCGTGTGCAGCAGGGCTGGGGCAGAATGCAACCCCACGTCCCGTGCTGCTCACAGCACAGCCCAGCATCCCACTGAGTTACATGAAACCACTCGTCCTCCCTGGGAAGCTGTTAATAAATCAGACACCCATGTTTGTTTTTTTTTTAACTTTTAATACAATGTATATTTATTGCAAACAATAATATACAAAAAAAAAAAAAAAAAAAAAAGGTAAGTTTCACAAAGAGAAGGATCTTGCAACCAAAACCAAACAAACTTACCTAAAGACAAAAATATGATTTAAGTGACAGGTCTTTTAAGTTACAGAAATACTTTAAAAAAAAAAAAAGATCTGCTTTTATACAGAAATAGAGAGATGCCATATTATAAGAGTGCTTTCAGATTTCTCCTACTGAATCCCTATTAAAAAAAAAAAAAAAAAGTTAACACATATATCTTTTTTTTTTTTTTTTTTTTAATTAAAAAACAAACAAAGTTGGCTGTCTTTTTTAAAAAGCAATCCTTAACTGTTCAGCCACAGCTTCATCAAAGTCCATGAAACCCCCCTAGAGCTGCGCTGGGGTTTGGAAGGCAGAGATGGGGTCTGGTTGTGTCCCATAGAGCTGAGGCAGGAAACAAAGGCAAATGATTCAGTGATGCGCTACATTTGCAATCTTCAGTTTGTCCGACATTTTATATAGGTTTGGAGGTTTTTGTTTTTTTTTTTTTTTAAATTATTATTATTTTTTTATTTTTT